CTCCACCACCACCACCGTCTCTCTCCACCACCACCACCGTCTCTCTCCACCACCACCACCGTCTCTCTCCACCACCACCACCGTCTCTCTCCACCACCACCACCGTCTCTCTCCAATCAAGTTTCCTTTTCCCACTCTCTCCAACTCTCTCTTAACCTCTCTCTCTCGACCTAACACGGCCGACTACCCAGTGCCCCAAAGCAATGTCCAGAACGTGCTTGCTGCACCCCGCGTAGTTTACCTTTCACAATAGTACAAGTCAAACCTGTTTAACCAAACCTGTTCAACCTATCGTACACAGATATTTTATCACAATGTGGCACTAAAATTTGCCCGGCCTAAATGTTGTCGGGGAAATCACGCGACAGTCATCCACATCATCATCCGCACCACATCTTCTCGCACCATTTCGCCAAACTACAAGCCCCGAGTAGCATCACACCTCTACGCGCGTGAGTTAAGAACCCCAATGCTCACTGGAAACCATTGTGCCCATGTGTGCAAGGAGCTCGCATGTAGCCAAGAGTGTCACGGTCGCCTACCGTTCCACCAGTACCACTCTCCAACATTTTCATACGCAACATTACAACGAAAACGCCCGTTTCGGGTTGACTTTACGCCCCCTCGAGCGTACGTCCGGCTGTTCTTCCTTTTCCTTGTTCTCTCTCTCCCCCCCCGCCCTACGTCTTCCCCCTGATTCTTCGTCCCCTCACGTTTCGCCTGCTCCCCCTTACTCCCTCCCTCGCTCTTCCGCGCCGGCGTGGCGAGCGCGCACGAGCGCACATGGCTAGGGGGCACGCGGATGCACCATACCCCTTGCAACGTTGCCCCTACAAAGGATTTGTATGGTCTAGTGCTCTATCGTACTTATTGTGGCATTGGGGGGAGAGGGGTGGTCACTTCGGGCCTGCCCCCCAGCAAAAAATGGCACAAAAACAGAAAGTGAGCACCTAGGTGTGCAAAGATATTTTTGGCATACCCTTGGACATGATTCGGAAGCCCTCCAAAAAATTATCGAATGACACCCGGTTTTAACTTCACAATACAAACCGTTCGGGTACCTGCTCAGCATATTCTAACATCTGTGCCTGTCCACCTGATGCGAATGCCTTCCGTGGTCACACGCCAAAACTACCGAAAACGGGTACACACTACGAAGGGTCAAGGAAAACAGGACCCAGAAAATCAGCTCATTTCCATGAGCGGACCAACCTTTGGTTTAGACCGATGTTAAGGACCCTATTCGCAGGGTATCTGTCGATTGACTTGTACCAGAATCGGTACACCTTCGCACCGATTTGCATGTGCTTTATTGAACGTCTTCATAGAGCAGGAGATATCCTGCAATAAATTCCGTAATAGCAGACCTTTCGATTCCCCTCCCCGTAGAACACGACGGCTGATGACAGCATGAAGAACAAACATCAAAACATCAGTTCTCCCGACGGACTTGGAGTTGGTCCCACGTCTCTTGAACCTCCCCCCTTGGTTGCCTCGAACGGCCACCGAAATACCTTGCCCATGTTCCCGCAGACACCGGTTCATCATGTGTTCCAGTGTGGTGTCGACAAATTCTCCCCATTATCAGGTGTCTCGACAGCGGTATGCGGTCCCAGGGGTTCCCCTCACATGCTGGGATTCTGATTGTACTGCATCTCGCCCGCGAAGCGTCCAGCTCTCCTTGAGAGCCAACTTCGTCGATTGTATCCACTTTCGAAAATTGAATACCGCGGACTCGTCGCTGTACGACTTGAGAAAGGTCCTGAGACAGTCGACTAGCCAGTTCTTCTGAAAACCGTCAGAAGGCGTCCGATATTTCCAAAAGGAAGTCAGCACCCTCTTCGAGAAAGTCGTCCAGCACGCCAGTCATGAGGAGGACAACCGGCTGCTGTACGGTGGCTTCAACCACCAGGGCCAAGGCACAGCTTGTGAGCCAGTCGACACACTTGGGACTGGTCAGGAAAGTGTTGCAGTCACGGAGAAAGGACGAACTCGGTGAGCCCATTAGAGAGAAAAGAAAAGTGTCGATTGGTCAATTCGCCGCACGCATGAAAACGCTGGAGGTAGTCAACCATTGAGCACATGAATAAGTTCGACTCCCAAGCGTCCCTTCCAACGCCAGGAAGAAAATGTTGTGGGAGGTGAATGGAGGACGTCATTTGTACACGTCGAAAACAACGAACGGTCTGCCGTACAGGTCTTTGCAAGTTTGGGCCGCACGCTATTCCGAACAAACCGTTGTTCGTTCAAGACGTTTTTTTCTGCTGTTAGAAGTAGATTTCCGACGAGCCGAGATATCCGAAAACTGGAGCCTTGAATCATGCAATAAGAGGCGAGGCAGCAAGAAACTGCGGAAAATGTTCAGCTCCATACGCAGGGATATTTCATCCAATCTCCCACACAACTAACAATGTTGTTAAAACATAGGAAACCCATGGGTGACCCATGGGCGGCCCATGAAGTGCCCACCGCGGGCACTTCAACCTCGAACTTCGCCACCGGCATATCAATCTAGAACTTAGCCACTTAAGGCCAACCAGCACGTATCGTGTGGGCTTGTGGTAGAGTTACGGTTAGCGGTAGGGTTATTAACCGCTATAGTGCCCGTTCCAAAGCAGATAAAATTGTGTTAAAGAGTACACTGGTATGGTTGAAGGGCTCTCATTGGCCGCCCATGGGCTCCCCATGAGTTGCCCATGGGCCGCCCACGGGCTGCCCACGGGCTACCCATAGGCACGCTCATGATGGGCTGCCCGTGGGCAATAAGGTGCTCATGGGCATGGGCATGCCCACGTCTGACCCATGGGCGACCCGTGGGCAACAAAGTGCCCATGGGTGACCCATCAGTGACCCATGGGTGACCCACGGGCTGCCCATGGGGGTAAACGGGGCGCCCATGGCGGTCCATGGGTGACCCATGGGAGTCCCGTGGGTCGTTTGGGAAAACTGTAGAAATTGTGGGAGACCCGTTGTATCACAAAGGCGCCGGAAGACCGGACGAAATTCTGAACACGCGCAATGTACGGTGCCTTCCCCGCATCTGCCCCATTTCGCCCAAGGATGGCATCTTCCACGAACTCCCATGGAGGGTTGCATGGCCTCCACGGTGTACTCTCCACGGCTTTCCCATCAGCAGAAGTGAGTTATCTAGATGACCGCCGTGTGCTTCACTGGCAGGGCGATTACCACCTATCGATAATTCCCCTCCTACGGCGGTCATGTGCTTCCATGCCGCAGCTTCATGACTTGCGCTGTCGTTTTTTTGTGACTGCGACTTCAGTTCGCCATTGAATGGGAAGCAAACGATGTTTTCCTTGGCATCCTCCCGAATCGAGTTGGGTGCGACATGTTTCTTTGCGCGGGGTAGGTTTGCACAGGGCGATACAGATGCTGCCTATCCGAATGATTCATACTTGGTGGGGGCATCCATCGACATTTCGCAGGGTCATTGCACGAACCCGTAATAAATAGTGACACTCGTATTCGAACCTCAAGGGACTACCGGACCATGACATCATACTCTACTACGAGTGTTCCACTGAGCTCAGCAGTCCTCCAACGCCGAACAGCAACAACACCAGGAGAAAGCCCGGAAGTCAGACACGTCAGGTCACGACCCAGCCGACAGAACAGGGGAGCTCACCGGTCAAACTTGATCGCGAAGACTAGGTTGGCGTACGTTAGGCAGAGAATGGCCACGTAAACCACGGAGTTTGGGCAGACGTACATCATGGAACGCCTTTGCTTGCACTCGTTCAGACAGGTGTTGAACTCGATGGCTCGGGTGGTTCTCGTCGCGTCGCGGTGCATCCTGGAGACAGTTTGGGCCCCACATTCTACTTGGTCGGTTCTATGCGTGCAGCAGTAGACTACGCAGACAAGAACGGAACGTTGCACACAATCCGAGCCGGACGGTAGCGGAATGTCATGAGGCCACCGATGTTTGGCCTCCAAACAGTTTCTTCGCAGATGATGCAGGCAAATATTGCAACTTATCCTGTAGGAGCAATCCCTGTCTATCTGTACATCCCTTAACACTCTATTCCAGTCTTGCACCTGAAAGCTCGCTGAAGATGCAGGGCCGCAGAATGCATGAAGGGCAACGGGTAAGACCACGTGGTGATTAGGTCCTCTTGACAGACCTTTGAACCACCAGTTCGTTCTGCCTGTCTGTGCATCTTCAACAAGTATGGGCATACCAGCGTGCCCAGCCCGCCGAACACAGCTCCTATATCGCCGCAATGACGGAGCATGTTCGAACACAGAATAGAGCGCTCAAACGACATAGGAGTGCACCATCCGGGGTGCGTTGCGAAAAGGATGGCTTGAAGACGCACGGCCGCGAGGAAGTGTAAACATTACCCACGAACGATCCAAAGGCTGGTTCCATCTACTTTAAGTGATCTCGAGCGCGATTTTATCACCTGTCGCGAGACCAATGTCGGAGCCAAAGAGACCAGACCAGAGCAAAAAGAGCGGCATGAGGTATTCGGTTGAGTGATATGCATCAGCCCATTGGCTCAATTCCTTATTCATTCATGCGCTGTCTTCCCAGCTACAAGAGTGTAGACGCATCGTAGAACGCGTTTTCGTTTGAAGTTGGCGTCTTGTTTGAGAGTAGATGTGACAGATTTGCGTAGAATAGGGTAAGATGTTATCATGGACGGAGAAGAAAGGGCGTTTCCAACACGGAGATGTAGCATGGATTAAAGCATTTGTTGGATTTCAGCTTTTACAAGAGGACATCAACGCAGTAGTATTTTAGCAAGCTTACGAACGCATATAGGATACCATGAGGATTGTCATTGGTTTATTTCAATTTGAAGAGGAGATATTTTTACGATGTACGTGACAGTAGAAAAAACTCCTACATATTTTGTTGTACTTCGTATTGGTTTAATATTTATGTACAGAATGAGACATTAAGTGAAAGTTTTCTGAGGTACATCCGCAATTGTCGGAAGGCAAAAAAGAAAAGACGCAGCATGGGCCCAGTGTTGAGACCTCCGCATTGCTGTCTCAAGTGGGCGACGGAGGTAGCGCAACCGCCAGTGACGTGGTTGACGCAGATGTCAGCGACGACATCCTTAAGGCTTCCGATGTCGGCGTTCCGCTGCTCGTATTTTGTGGCCTTCGGGAGCAGAAGACGGCGTGGAGATGCGCGAGGAGTGGATGTTAGAGGGTTGCTGAATTTTGATAGATGAGAGCACCCGTATATTAACAGAACGACACAGTTAAGAAGTAAGGACACAGCAGCATAAGGACACAGCAGCAGTGGAGGTCTGCTGTGATAAAAGGACACACACTCACCAACAGCAGCTAACCTCATCCCAATCATTGGCTTGGGAGGCACACCATCACACACAGCAGGCAGTAGTCTAAAGTACATGCATAATATCCTACGACAGGCACATGACACATACATTTAGTTAGAACAGGCAGTCAGCCAGCAACACTCGGGTTGTACGCAGACACGACACATAGACTGCTGGGGCTTGCACTGCTGCAAGGAAGGTTTACAGACACACATGACACAGACGATGCTGCAAGGTTCGCACATAGGCATCCACACATACTGCTGTATTATGACCATGCGATCGACAGGGGTTTGAAAATCAAAATTTTTAATATTTGTGTATGCATGCGTACCTGTCCTCTTTCCACGTTCAATCCGTTCAGAAGAGAATGGTAGCCACAGTTACCATCTCCTCTGCACGAGACAGTCCTCAGTAGCTCCCGAGGTATGACGAGGTTGCTCGGACAGATTAAGTCCTGAAGCTCTCGATGCTGTCCTTGTAATGTGCCTCGGTCCAGGATAAGGGCAAGGCGCTCCTGCAGGCTAGACTTGCCAATACCTGATCACTACGAATGTTACTGAACGAAAGCATTGTTGTCCCCGGTAAGAAAGACGTCGTACTCACCCCTGAGAAAGGCGGCAACGAGCCCCTGTGACCCCCGTCGATCGGACATGTGCCTGTTGAAATCGGCGCTACCCGACGGTGCATGCCGACCCCCAAAAGGACTCCCAACAACCAAATCGCACTCTCCCAACGCAAGGCTGAAGCTGAATTTTCACATATATGCAGCACATTGACAAGGACAAACATTGACACAGCACTTGACGAGGACAGCAGCACTTTGACATAGACACAGCACATTTTCAGCTTCAGCTTCCTTGCGGAATACTTACTACAGGAGAGCAGACCTGTGACGGTCTTAGGGGAAAAAGAAAAGCCAACGAACCTTGCTGTATTGCCTACCCTGGAACTCCAAAGTTCACCAAAGAATGACCACCATGAGAACGATATCATCCCGTTGAAAAAGAGCTTCGAAACCTTCCTGCCCGGGATCGGTGGAACCACAACGAATCATTGACCCCCTATCCTACAAGAAAAGCACGACGCCATTCCCTTCGAGGACTCGAAACACTCCCGGACTTCGCACGCGCAATGACCAAGGCACCAACAAACCAACCGAAAATTTGAATCGAAGTTCCTTGAGGCGGGGCAGCCCACCAATTTTTCAGCAAAGAAAAACTCTCAAGTTTCTACCGAACACAGGCTATTTTTGAATGGCCTGTGCCTCTCCCCCCCATCCTCCCGAAAAAGGACGGCACGTCGCTACCAAGACCCCAGAGCCAACCAGCAACAACCGACACACCACATCAGAATAAAAAACATCATCGGCATCAGAAGGCAACACCAAAGACAAAAAATCCGGAACACACGCACAACATCCACAAACAAAAAGATATCGAAGGGCGCCGGTGAGTAAAGTTACGGCAAGCGCCGAAGGAGTCGTTTGAAGGTGCTCGAAGCGCCGACCAGGTCTTCGGCAGTCGTACGAAGCGCCGTCTCGCTCTCCCCTTCCACCTTGAAAAATCCTCGAGGTGCCGTCTCGCTCCCCCCCCCACGACGAAAATCCCGCAAGGCGCCGACGTGCTCGCCTCTTCCGCCACGAAAATTCTTCGCCGCAGCGCTCCCCGTCCACCACGGCAAAACCTCCTTCACAGCGCTCCCCATCCACCACGACAAAACCTCCTTCACAGCGCTCCTCGCCCACCACGACAAAACCACCACCACAGCGCACCCCTCAGGTCCCGTTCCGTTGGACGCTCCCGGACCGCATGTGCACCAGAAAGCACAATGGGCCAGGCGGACCATCCATCGCCGTACAATATTTCGCCGGCGACGGCGACACGTTGAAACGCCGCTCGAGGTCGACGAAATGGACGTTGCACGGGAGGTCCTTCGCCCGCGCCCTCGAAACCTGATGCACCACCCCCAGCTGCCAGCCCTTCTCCTTCGACCGCACGTAAACATGCGCCCCTTTCATCTCCGCCGACAGCAAGGTCGAACCACGCTCCCAGTAGCATGTAACGCGTAACCTGGTGGAACATTAAGGGAGTCACGGGAGCGAGCTTGCGCGCGGAGCGCGCCAAGCTTATTATAGTCACAGTGCACTCATTATCGGCACCTACCTGACGTACCGTACTGCCCACCCAATTCCTGTGCACAAAAATACCATACTGCTGGATGTTTGCTTTAGATTCCCAAGCGGGCTGGCGGTGTCCGCGCCAACGCGGGTCGTATTGTACCACTATGGAACCCCCTGGACCTCAACTGATACGGTGACCGGTGATGGCAACCGGCGGTGCCCGCTGCACTTCAAGCTCTATTTCCACTTCGTCCGCGGAGACAGGAAAATGGGGCTAGTTTTGTGAATGCATGCAGCACGTAAGAACCAATCTGCCATAAAAAAAAATTCAAACGCCTGACACTCGGCGAGAAGTTCAGGCAGATCGCCTCCTGCTACTGCTCGACTAGAGCTTGGAGGATGTTTTCTCCAGCCAGGCACAGGAGCGAACCCTCAATACACACCGCAGAACTCGCGCTACGACATTTTTTTTTCGTTTGTGTTTGTTGGATCAGTCATCGTTGTTATCTTTCGCCGCCCCCGTCGAGAGTAGGCATAAGTATACGCGTCCGACCGGTGAGAACGAGGACAGCCGATAGAGATGCAAGCGGCTAGCGATAAAAGCTATCGCAGGCGCGGCGCCGTTTGCGTCACTATCTTCATGATCGGCCAACGGGGAAGCCGACGGCGGGGAACAACTCTCCTCTTCTTCCACTCCGTTGTCACCCAACCGATTTGGTGGGATGGTACCACCATCGCGCGGCTAGGTTTCACTTACGGCGTGCGGATTTGAATTTTCGGTAGTCACTGGAAGCACTGGCAACGCGCTCGATGCTCGCTACGTAACTACCCCGGGGAGATGGCCTCACAACCGCAGGCGTCGTCTTGAGCGCCGGTTTTCTCACGGCAGCCAAATTCCCGTGATTGTCTTTACTACTGTCCGTTCGGGTTTCGGTTTCAGATCGGTTTTCGGGCCGGTTTTGAGCCGCAGANTTACGGCGTGCGGATTTGAATTTTCGGTAGTCACTGGAAGCACTGGCAACGCGCTCGATGCTCGCTACGTAACTACCCCGGGGAGATGGCCTCACAACCGCAGGCGTCGTCTTGAGCGCCGGTTTTCTCACGGCAGCCAAATTCCCGTGATTGTCTTTACTACTGTCCGTTCGGGTTTCGGTTTCAGATCGGTTTTCGGGCCGGTTTTGAGCCGCAGAAGTCTTCGTAAAAGGGCAAGCTGGGATTCCACGGATCAAGCGGACAGCCCCCTCTTCTCTATCGCCTACGACTCCAGGACACAAGACCTGGTCGGCTAAGCTAATTACACTCAACCTCGTACTGTGCACTCGGTCTGTCGGACTCGGAGTCGGCTCGGGTTTCGGAGCTACACAACCTGGTAGCTTCGCCGGTGTTGTACTACAGCCCGACAAAGTAGGTGGAGAACTGCAGTGGACGGCTCCCCGCCCCTCTCAGCACTAAAAAGGTCGGAAATCACCAGACGTGTCAGACGGCGGTAGCGACGGTTTCCGCCCGTCCCCACCACCGTAAGGTTCCGACGGTTCCGTCACCAAGAGGCGGAAACTCTCGGTGTCGACTTCCTATTTTCCAGAGTAAGAAGGGTGTCTCACCTATACCATCTTGGAATCGGATCGCGGAACGCCCAAACGCCGGCGGATACACGTCCTCGTATGGAGCGGGCGGTATCAATCTCCTCGCGGGCACGGCGCATGGCAGCAGGACGGGCTGCGGCGACAACNCCGTATGGAGAGGGCGGTATCAATCCTCTCGCGGGCACGGCGCACGGCAGCAGGACGGGCTGCGGCGACAGTACCGAGCTGTGTACCAGCGGGGTGACCGCGTGGAGACGACGCACGTGGCGAAGAGTCGTACTGCGACCGGCAAGATGGGTAAATCCCCCGTGACGACCCGGACGGGCCAATTCCAGGAGATTCGGTAGGCGAGGGAGAAGAGAGACGGGCAATGGGCGTGCCCAAGGAAAAGGGCCTACTAGAACGAGAGGCTCACACGCGACAAGTCGCGCAGCCGGAAACAACCGAATTGCGAGTACACATTGCCCATGACGCAGACGCGAAAGACTGCAGCGGTACTTCAAACCAAAAGCCAACAACAACCAACAGCGCAACGGGTATCGCACCCAGGGAAGAAGCAAGCGCCGAGGACGCCTGTTGGATGTACTCACAGCATTGACAGATTATTGCAACAGAGGAAAATTCCGAGAAGATGGAGCGGGGAATTTTCGGGGTTCCGCAGTTGTGGTATATTGGGGGAATGGTGGTACCATCTTTGCCACATATTGTTGTTTCCTGGGTATACGTACCTGCAACGGTGTTGACCACGTGCCCTTGGATAATTTTCGTCTTCCTTTTCCCGGCTATCACGCTCTGGGCTATCACGCCCGTGCCCACACATATCCACCGGCTATCACACTGCCAGGCTGTCACGCCTCTAGGCTATCACGCCATCACAACAGCAATCACAGCACCAGCTTCAACACATCAGAGCCATCACGCTCCGGAACATCACAGATGCGGCGGGTTACCACATCCGCGGGCAGTTTACTGTATTTTATCGTTGCCGGCAAACTCGCCGTGCGGTTCTTTTTATTTTTGCCGTCTACAACTGCGCCGGGCGCACAAAGCTACTCAACACGCTAGCGTAATAGATGAAGAGAGTTGCTGCTGTATCTGCGCGAACAAGGCGGCTGGAGGAGATGGACGAAGACCTCCGGGGGAACCAGGGACTAGTTCCTCTCCCCACGGGGAAGACAACGGGGGGAAAGGACGAGATTCGTTGAACCTCCCCGATGTGGACCAGGGAGGAACGAGAGCAGCCGCGGGTGGAGGGGAACAAGATCCAACTATCGCCCTTGCTGACCTCCTTCGCCGGGGTGCCACCTTCGCTTCCCAGACTCCAGGACATGGCGTCCGCTCAGGCACGTCTAGTTCCCATCCCATAGAGTTGAAGCTGAGAGAGAGAGTCGAAGTACCAGAGTGGA